TTTCTCCAGATACAAATTTCAGTTCTTACTGAAATATTCATACACAGAATCATACCAGAATTACCAGCTAAATTACCAGCTAGAAAATTAAGAGAAAATAACAAGAATAGTCAGTTGTAGTAATCACTTCTGAGACAGCTTTTGGGAAGGGTTATATCAACAGCTATTTGTCTGACATTTAGAGTTTCTTGAGTGTAATTTACTCTGTATTTGTCAATGCAAAACACAGCATTACCTATACACCCTTTCACACATCAGAAGCCTATTGATAATTACAGGATACTGGATTAAACTCACTACTCTCACTTATTACCCCAAATTACCTAAATCATGCATCTAAAGATCTGCATATCACATGAGTTTTCAGAGCTTTTTGTTTCAGGAAAGTGCAATATTCTTTTAATTTGCATTCTAAGCACACTGCTCTCATACTGAGTGAAAAACAGTAATGGCATTTCACATTTCAAATCAGAAACAGAAAACCATATGTACCATAACTGTAAGCCTGCGTAAGCAGTTGGTAGTAAGAAAGTAGCCCCCAAAAAGGCAACGCACCATAAACAAGGTCTACTTTCTAATATAAAATTAATGTCTATCTCTGATTACTTTCCAACAAACAAGTTCACAGTTCAGATCACATTGTTATTTGAAATCTCCATTCATACACACAGGTACATTCACACATGATAGAATTCTTGCAAATAAATGAATTAATGAAGCTTTACAGTAGTAAACATGAGAAAATCAATCTTCATACCTGTTCATTCCCACCATTTTTTTCTGAAGATGGCATAGTGTACTAACAGTGGAAATGTTAACATATGGATGGGAGTCCACTGCAAAGCAGGCATAACCACCACCAAGCACAGAAACAGAGCATGATTATACATTTGTCATTCAAACAGTATGTTTATATATATATATATTCAAACAGTTCAGAGAATGACTACATATTCCAGCTGTACCAGCTGAAGAAGTGAACTGAAACTAAACCAAGTCCTGCCATCGCTGCTTTCATGCAGTCATACTTTTTCACTAACAAAAGGCCAGAAAAAGTGATAATAAAAAAGTTAATGGTACCCTTCCTTAGTCAACAGCTGTTTATTTTAGGATATTTACACTGTTCCTATAGTGTGCAGTACGGTTTTTTCAAATGAACGAATGTCGCAAGCAGTATTAACTGAAAGAAAGAGACAAGGAGGAGGAGATGTGAAGTTTTAATCAATCTTTGCAGCAGTAGTTTCTCAGAACCCAGCTGCCAGAGGTAACATTGTATACTATAATTATGAATGTTTTGATTAAATATGTTGATCCCTCGACAGGCATTTGAATTGTCTGAATGTTGTTTGAAACACCTGAGCAAAGATTCCAGATTTTAAAATTTGTGTTACATATTATATGAATAATGCATTGAAAAAAACAAAAACATCCTTTTCAACTTTCCAATGTAAATGAAAAAAAGAATTTTGAAAGTATATATTTCATACAGCCTTCTCTCACTAAGGTGAATGTCAAAAGCAATTGAATTTTTACAAAGCTTGTGGACAGACAAGCTGTAAATGTGTATATGTTTCTCTCCAAAAAAATACATTCTTCTGAAGACAATGAAAGTTACCTTGATTTTATATACCTTACTTTAAAAAAAAAAAAACAAAAAAAAACATATAATGAACAAGAAGCCCCTTCACAGTTTAGCATATGATAGAACCTCCTTAATACATCTATCTACAGCATCCCAAAGGAAAGCATGCTATTCTGAAGGTACCAGTTTACTCTCACTAGTATTAGCACCTAACATGTGACTTCAAAATAATATTAATATCTCTTTCTATTACCCTTCCCCACACATAAGAATCAGAGAAGCTTACTGTCTCTCCTTGTTTGCATTATATTAGCACCACACGTTTCCCTCTTCAGCTTCCCGCAGTCAACAATCCAATGTGTCCTCAGTTGCTCCTGATTCCTTTCCCACAAAACTCTGAGCTTTGCTACTCCAGTATTTATTAGCCCACATAGCCCACATAGACATTCTTTGGGCTTTTTAGTAGAAAATTCTTTACATTCTGGATGTCATGGGGAAATTGTTTCCAGAGAGAGTGGTGAGGTACTGGAACAGGCTGCCCAGAGAGGTTGTGGATGGTCCGTCCCTGAAGGTTTTCAAGGCCAGATTGGATGGGGCCCTAGGCAGCCTGGTCTAGTATTAAATGAGGAGGTTGGTGGCCCTGCATGTGGCAGGGGGGTTGGAGATTCATGATTCTTGTGGTCCCTTCCAACCCTGTGATTCTCGTTTGCAATTTTTTTGAGTACAACTGTTACAATGACTTCGTCATTTTGTACATCGCTTCTACAAATTTAACGTAAGATTATTTTTTTTAAAGACAATTGATATCATTCTGATTTAAAGCTTCAAAAAATCCCGTAACTTTTTATCTTTAAATCAGTAATTCAAATGTCTTGCATAGACAAAGCTAAGAGCTATTGAGATGTGAGGCCTGTTAATATCAATAACTAATTGAAAATGAAAATAAATAAACTCACAGCAAGCATAATCTTTAGTTTTCTCCTTCAGAGAGATTTTGGCTTGTAATAGGGAAGTATTACAGTAATGACTGCAGTAGAATAATGTTTTTCACACTATTTTCTTATTTTCATTTCTTATTTTCATTTCTCAAACTAGCACATTTGCCTTTTTAACTGCAATTATCTCACTTCTCCTTGCTGTCCTGCATTTTCTGAAAGTTCAGAGTGCACAACATAAAGGTATCACTAACCACAAAGATCCCACCTGTCTATAAGGTTGGTGAATTGAGGGCAACATGACATCTGAAAGACTGAGTAGAGTTTCTTTTGTTTCATCTCTTTACTGGCTAAGTGTGACAACTCTAAGTCAGTCTGTCCTGAGTGTACCTTCACAGAAGATAAAACTACACAGACTACAATTATACAAAAAAACAGGTTATGAGTAAGACTCGTTTTTACAAAAAATACTGAGATTAAAGAAATATAGTTTGTTTTGCTTATCATAAAACACAATGCTGTAATTACAATCCAACACAAAGGATTAAACTCAAATGGCTTCTCTTGCCCAACTTCTGTAAATAAATGCATTAATATTTTATTTCTTATTTAAATAAAATGAAATTAAGTAACGGTTAAAGGCAAATGTTGTTTTCCAAGCAGTGGAAAGGGCCAGTGTCAGAGAGGAGTTGCAATTTCTCCAATAATGTGGTCACTCTTCTGTATGAAAAAATTAACCTTTTACGCACCATACTAATACAATTTCTGGTACAGTTATATCAGGTAATGAGTATATGAAAATAAACAAACAAAAAAACAGTTCTATTCTTCTCTCAACGACAGGAAACCCCTGTGAATGACTTTTCAGGTATAGTTAAAAGATTTTTTCCCGAAAGACTTCTGTAGAAGAAGTCCATTCTACTTTAAACGTCCCTTCTGATGGAAGAACTAAGTTTATAAAAATCTGGAGTGTCATGAGCTTACCTTCTTTTTTAGTAGAATTAGTGCGTTACAAAGTCTGCTTTTGAGCAGACAGTGGAAGAATCTTTTTGGCTTGGAGGAGGTATACTGGAGTCCCTGAACTCAACTGAAAAATCACTTAGATCAGGCCTACTGAGATGCTGAAAACAGCACCACCCACCTCACCATAAGGAAAAATGTAACAGACGAACAAACTAGCAAGAAACTTTTCTAATGCCCAATTTAAATTAACATATTTAAATACCTTTGATACAAAATATTCAAATCTGAAAAAGTACACATTTTCTACTGCTGTCATAAAAATAAGAAATTCTATTATTTTTTCCTCAACTTAACTGTTAGTGAAACTCAAAACTCCATTTTGTAATACACAGCTACATGGGTTACCACAGAAATCTGTGCTGTTAAGGGGGGAAAAAATTAAGTAGAACAAGCAGGATATCATGCAGTTTTCATGTACATTTTGTTATCAATGTAGCTCACAAAACAAAGCTCACAGAAAATTTAAAACCTCAACTGAACAAGAAGTCTAACAGACTAAGTCTTGCTGAGGATTTGTTCCCAAAGAATAATATTAAAATGTAACATCAATGATATAATAAGCTCTTCTGAAATATTTAATAATTGATTCTTTTAAAATTTGACTAGAAAACTGTTTTCACTGAAAACATTGTGATATTCTTAAATAAAAACAGACAAGTAAACAAAATTTACTACTTACGAAACCTTCAAAAATATATATAGAATTTATATTTGATTTTCAGTTACTTGCAGCCTTTCTGTAGTGTCCTGTAGATTCTTATCTTATTTTTAATTTTAAGCTAAGAAGTCTTTAGACATTACGCTGTACTGAATTTTTGAGAAGTTAGTATCTGGTTTACCAAACATAGGAGCAAAAATGTGAGAACAATTATACCAATGCTTCTTATTTTCCTACAGCTTTACCTACTGACATTGCCATTCTACTCAAGTAGTCTGCTACTTTGGAAAATGGCACTGAATCTCTCCGATGAAAATCCTAGCCTGCTTTTAGCGACTTTGAAGTAAAGCTATGCCCAAATGATGGCTGCAATTCCAGACGCCATTAATATTAAGAACCACTTAGGAGGTCCTGTAAAGCTTCATTGTTTTCCACCTGGCCTAGATTGCTTCAACTCTTGAGCACACAATACTACAGAGGACAGTACCATAAACCCTCTTTGTTTCACACAGCTGCACAGCGTACAGAGGTAATGCAGGAAGTGCCATACTGCCATCTGCAGTCCAGAATACCCACCAGTGTAATAATTCACAGCTCGATTTCCTTGCAGCATTTTAATTTTTTTCTTAACACTGAAGAATCTCAAATTGTTTACCTTTTTTTTTATGCTTCTATGAAACATGACTTTTCGTAACTTTTAATCCTTGTGGAAAAATTAATTTTGCAGTGCTTAGAATTAGAGCTAAATTAATGGAAAAGAAAGAGGCGAAGGAGAAAGAGAGAACCTTAAAATTTCCATTACCTGTCTGGTGTGAATGGGGCCTGGGGTCTTGAAGCCTCCTTGACAGCTGCATTCAGAAACACTGTAAGGATCCGAGCTGCTTGATGAGCACTTGGAGAGTGAATCACAGCCCACCACAAAGGTGTTATCCAGAGGCAGTTCCTGAATGACATGGTGCTTCTTGGGGGGTACAGGAGTCTCAGGTTTAATTTGAAAGGTTGGCTGTGGAGAAGCAGACTTGTAGTGCTTTGCTAAATCTGGGCTATCAGGCTTAAACGTGGTTGGTGTAGTGGCCCAGTTATATTTTCCCATAGTCTGTTCTTCTAGTTCTACAGGAATGTCTAAAGTGCCATTTATGTGCTCATGGCCAGGATCATCAGGCTTAGATTCTTCAATAGTCACAAAATTGAGGAGAAGACTTTTTGGAGAGCGTTTCTTCTTCTTCTTCTTCTTCTTGATCTGCCTATTCTCTTGGTTTGGGGAAACCCACTCACCACTCTGCTTATTTTTCTGGACAACTTTGTGCCTGGGAGTCTGGCGGCACCGTACTAACGCAGTAACAAAAATTACCAGAATAACTGTCATTGTGCCTGCAATAATCGCAATTATGATCTTGACATAATCATTGGTTTGTGGGGTTATCTCACCATCCCCAATGTTCTGGCCAACTGGAGTTTCCATATTCCTGCGCACTAGCTCTTGTATGTAGGAACTATTGGTGACCGTCTCATTCACAAACAAATGCACAAGAGCTATAGTATAAAGAGACTCTGGCTGCCCTAGGTCATTGACTTTTATCACCAGTCTGTGCAAGCCATGATCTGATGTGATTACCTTCTCTTTCAATGTAATATTGCCTGTTAACTGGTCAATTGCAAACAAGCCCCTTGAATTCCCTCCTATAATGCCGTAACGGAGCTCTGCATTCATTCCTGTGTCATTATCAACTGCAAAGACTTTAGTAACAACAGAACCTGGATTGGATGATGTTGGAACCAACTCATATGAATAATTTGATGAAGGAATTACAAAAACAGGCCTGTTGTCATTTACATCAACAACATTGATCGTCACTTTGGCCGTTGAGGAACGCTGCAGTCTTCCTCCATCCACCGCTTTCACCTGAAAAGTGTATGACCCCTGCTGTTCTCTATCAAAAGTAATATTAGGTCTTATTACACCAGTAAGGGGATCGATAATGAAATTATCTCGACCATTTAATATAGACAGAGTGACTGCAGCATTCTCTCCAGAATCAGCATCTGTTACTGTGATAAGCCCTACTGTGCCATACATGGGTAAGTTTTCTGGAACATAGAAATTATATTCATTGTGTGTGAAAGCAGGGCTGTTATCATTCTGGTCCAGGACTGACACTGTCACAGTAGCATTGGTCTGCAAGGGTGGCATCCCATTATCCTTAGCCAGTACAGTGAAGGAGTACCTGTCTTGTTTTTCTCTATCCAGCTTTCTCACTGCTGTCAGAATGCCTGTGCGGCGGTCAAGATTGAAAATAGGGGGTGCATCGGAACCCAGAATATAGCTGATCTCAGCATTGCGCCCACTGTCGGCATCCGTAGCACTTATCTTGGTTAGCTGAGTACCAGGAGCATTGTTTTCAGGGATGGAAAGACCTATGATAGGCTGTGTGAAAACTGGGGCATTGTCATTTTCATCTTTAATTTTGATCAAGAGCATTGCAGATTGGTTTAAGGGAGGTTTACCTGAATCTGAAGCTACTATTTTAATAGCATATTCCCGTGTGGATTCATAATCTAGAAATGTAGCTGTCTCCAGAAGAAACTGATTATCAAACACTGGCTTTAGTCTAAAAGGGACATCATGATCTGTAAAACAAGTAACTTTTCCATTCAGATCAGCGTCCTTGTCCATTACTGTTATCAATGCAATTTTTGTATTAAGTGGAGCTTTCTCAGACAAGAGCACTGTCCCATTCACTGGATTGATGATGTACCTTGTGTCAATTGATGGGACATTGTCATTAATATCTGTGACATTAACAGTCACTGTTGCTCTCGATGGAGTCGAACTGCCATCACTTGCCAAAACAGTTAGTTTGTGTACTGGAGATTCTTCCCTATCTAGTGGCTCTCTTATGGTGATGAGACCAGTGGCATTATCAATGGCAAACAGCTTTTTGGCCAAGCTGGAGATCTGATTGCTGAAATAGAAGTGGATTTGTGCATTTGAGCCCAGGTCTGCATCAGTGGCATGGAGCTGAGAAACAGAGGTGCCAACTGGAGAATTTTCTGGAATACTAACTTCAATGTCATTTTCTTTAAAGACTGGACGATTATCATTCACATCAGTCACTGTGACTTGCAGGATTGCAGTGCTAGATCTTGGAGGACTTCCACCATCTTCAACTTTAATTTTCATCACATAGGTATCCTTCTGCTCTCTATCCAGGATCTGCTGGACAATCAGTTGAGGCCACTTATCTCCCTCAGGTGTCTCAATTATATCAAGACCAAATACATTCTGACCCTACAAGACACAGAAAGAAGATACTTTAGCATAGTAGTACATTTAAGCAGAGAATCATCTCAATGTTCTGAAATTATCACAAAATATACAAGCATTATAAAGGAATTGACACTTTTATATTTACTCCTCGTTTGCAATATTTAGTTTTGCTCTAAGCCGTCCAGGGACCTTAAAAAAAGCTTCAGAACTTACATGGAAATGAACTTATATTTTAGAATAACAGGTTATGAGTATTTGTTTTGTTTTTTGGGGGGGTAGGTGTACACATTGTGGCTTGTTTGCTGTTTTCTTGGTGCTGTGTTTGCTCTTTAAACCAACTGCTCTCCTCCTAAAGAAAAGAGAAAATCCTTGGACAGATGTGATTTGCTTTCTATACTGTACCAGTGAGTGTGGAGAAGAGCAATGTAGCCAAAATTCAAAGTGTCCAAATGTAAGGTAATATGCATGCACTGAAGGACTTAAAAAATCTTCAATTTGAAGGAAAACAAGAAAGTTAAAGGGACTGCCTCATGGAACAACTCCGGACATGATCTGAAGCCATCATAATTTAAAAAAACAAAAATAAATTGTTTACTATACAGCCATAACAGTTTATTAGAAATACATAAGAAACACCTTAAAATTATTCCATTATTCCTCATGATATTTATCTTCTTTTTTCACTTGGATTGTTTTGGGGTTTTTTTCATTTAAAAAAAAAAATCACAGAACTGTGACATTCACTTTGAAAATAATTACTTCTTTTCACAGGGATTGTTGAACACCAAACACTCCTGTAATAGAAAAGAAATACTATATATATTTGACAAACATGGCTTCCTTCAGAAGCCTTGCGTTGAAAAGAGCATGCTAAAATAAACACAATAAAACAAAACAAATTCTGTGTAAGAATGGACTGTTTTGTTTAAGTGTTTTGCCAATCAGAATTTGACATAAACAAACATTTCTTTCATGGAAAAGAACTATCCATCCCCATTTCAAACATAACTGAGCAACCTGCACAGTATTTGTGACATTATATTGCAACCAGGGGCAGTCTAAAGTGAAGTGGAGCACATTCTGAAACAATAAATAAAAACACAGCTTTTACTTATTCAGTAGAAGACATGAAAATATTAGTTTTAAAAGAAATGTCTTCTCAAACAGCAATTCTACATTTATCTCTCTATTGAGAGAAAGTGTGGGTTTCCTATTCATCTTCAATCAGCCTAGCAGTTAGTTGTAATAAATTGCATAACTACTAAGAAATAATGAATGATATATGTTTTAATATAGAATTCCAGAAAAAAAAAAAATGTAACAAGCTGGTGGAGGGGGGCGGATATATCAGCTATCTTTTACTTCTTTGTTTGTACACAAATTGACAGATGGGCAGTAATTATTCTATCACTGTATCTCACAACTACAAAAAAAATTCTCATAGACTTTCAATAGGTTCAATTATACAAATGAATACACATCTCTGCATTTCTTCAACTATCAAGTCAAAAGCAATTCTTCATTATACCATAAAATTAATAGATTTGATTCTCCATAACTACCAATAAACTAATGGAGAAACAGAAAAGAATGCAAAGAACAATTCCAGGTCAATTATTACCATTTGAGTAATTTTTATGAAAAAAGAAGAAAAAAAAAAAAAAAGGTTACTTAAGAAAATTTCTTGCTGTTCATTAGAGGATCATGCATCTTTTTGAACTACTAAAATAAAGGGATTTTTTTTAATTTTTTTTTTCCTAACTTAATTCACATTGGGATAGAGTTAAATACAGCCATACGCCACATCTTATCAAACAAATTTTCTGAGAAAGTGCTCCCATTCCAAACATTCCCAAAATGATGACACATTCAAGCAGCGCATTTTGAAGATTACAAATATATAATTCTCTCCCTCATGAGAAAAGAAACTAAGAGTTAAAAAGAGAAACAGGAAAAAAAAACCTTCAGTGTAAATTTTTTAGTGTTGAAGCAAATGGATCATCACCAAAACCTCAGTGAAATCAAAATTTCCTACAATAAGATTGGTTTTGGACTGAACCTCAATCATCTCATTATCCCAGTGATCTGAAGGTTTCACCCATGCTAGAGTACTGCTATAAATCTTTACAAGTGGTATAATAGGTAATTAACACTTACGTAGTACCTTTCACCATTAAATTAATTTTAGAAATAACCTATTAGTTTTTTTTCCATGGCTGTATCAGAGAGTGAAAAATAAAATGCTGAATTTTCAATCTAAAAAGACAGTTTAAATGATGTAATCTAACTACTTCAAGCAGAACAAGGTTTCAGAGCCAACATCAACTTTAAGAAGCTCCGAGTTCTGATCACAATATTATTTACCAGTGGTTTAAGCAATTTGTAACCTTACTGGATTTTCATAACATCCTTTTCAGTTGATTCATGCCTAAGGTAATATTTGAAATGATGAAACTGGTATACTTGCTGAACACTCCTTGCCATATATTTACCTGATCATTTGTAATTGATCCAAATGTCCTTTTCGGAGCTGTTTTGGGCTGTAATGTAAAATAAAAAATTAGAGAGTTTTAAAACAATTGTAACATTTAGGTAAGTTAATAAATACATAATCAATTAAGCATAGATATCTAATGTGATAACCTAGAAAAGCCAAAGTATTACAAACACGACTGCATGTAGCAAGGTGTACATAGTACATAATCTACACCTAACTTGCCTCTAGACATGCACAAGGCACTATTACACTCTCTCATCACAATATGTGATTGAATTCATTAGTTGTTGCCTACATTTGCTTTGTAATGACTGTTTTTTGTTTGTTTGTTTTTGCTCTGAATGTTCAAATCCACAGTAAAAAAAAAACTCGGAAGTTATACACCAATCTAAACTAAAATCTGTGTAGTCATAAACCTAACATGCTTCACCCTTACAGAGAAGATAAGGACATGATGTATTACCAACATCTACATAATAATTCACTATTTTTCAGCTTCCAATAACAAAAGTGGCTCTACAAAAGCTGGTCTGAAAGTGACAGACACTTCTACCAAATTATTAATCATTTCATTTCAACTAAACAAAAACAAAATTCAAAGCCCTTTTCTTTTAGAAACACTCCTTCCAAAAGAAGGAAAGTTAACAGCTGCCAGTAAGGCAATTAGCTAATTAAGCCTGCCTCTTAACCTTCTCCATAACAATTTTTGAGACATTCACATGCATCCTATTAGACAGGAAGCTGATACAAAACCTGAAGGACAGTTAAAGGGATATTATATTTATGTCTGAGATATGCTATAAATTCCCTGTCCTCCAATATGCACTTTGTACTTCAAGTAAACACTATCTCTCTAGATATAAAATGAAGGAAAAAACAGGAGTTGTTAGGCATTAATATATTTAGTAAGATAATTTTTATGTTCACATTACATGTGTGTTAGAATTACAGATTTGCTCCAAAAATCTAAGAACTAAGCGAAAGAAATGACTGTATTTTAGCCATGTAATTCCCTAACACATCACTGTGTTTTTGGATGTAACAAGTAATAGTTCTGAACCAGCTCCTAAATCACAACCTCATCTTGTTTGACAGCCAAACAAGACACCTTAGGCTCATAATCCCGCATTTTAGAGCTCTCAGATGAATGCTGACTGGGTGTTGGAGCAGTGTGAATCCGTAATGCCCTCCTATTCACTACCTGCACTATAACCATATCAGTACTCTCAGGCAGAAGGGGATTCAAACTGACAGCCACTTGCATACAAGAAAATAGAAACAACTAAGATATTTCTGAAAATTACCCTAAAGCAGAGATTGCCCAGGATCCTCAGCTTCTAGTACTTTTAGTTCAAATTTATCATGATGGACATTTATAGATTTGGCTCATGACAAGTGGAAAAAATAAAATTAAATAGAAAAAAAAAACCTTTGATAAGACTTGTTAAACAAGTAAGCAACTAAACAAGTACTAAATGTAAGTTAAGATTCATTGAATTATTTTGTTCTCTGTTATTTTCAAGATAATTTCATTTGAAAAGGTGCTTGATTTCTATAAACAGGTGGTATCTTCATTGCACCAAATCCATAGCCATGCTTCTAGCAGAAAGTTATTTAGCATGAGTAACTTATTTGATTGGAGGCCCACCTAAACTGAAAGTTTGGCTACAAGTGAAACCACTGTATCCTCCTCTTATGTTTATGTTTGAGGACAAAATGTTGATAAAATTTTTCATTTGAATGTCATGATAGACCTCTCATCAGGTATCCAAAAATAAAAAAGAAAATAAATGAATAAAATCCGTTGTCCTCCAGATTAATAGCAGAAAGCCATTCTTTCACATGGACACATTTTTCCCCAACACTAACACACAGCTTTTTGGGCTTGTCGGTCTGGAACAAATACTGGTAAAATGAAGATGACTGTAAGGCTTTCTCAGGGCCCTCACTCCTTGGAATGTTTTCTAAAACTCAAAAGAGGAAGTTTAGTGGGAGGTGTAACAACCACTTCCTGCTTTTTAAAGACACGAAGCTGTGCTTTTCAAACAATGAAACTCATCCTTTTTACATTGTTCTGAGAAAATAACAGTGGAGCTAGCAAATAGAACTTCAAAAATATATGACGAAACACAAGTGCAAGATGCCCCTTCTCTACATACTGGAAGATAATAAATTACACTGCAATTTCAGATTAATAAATCAGAGACAGCAGCTCAGAAGTAGTAACAGGGTACTGAAAGTAGTTCCACAGAGACTAAATTCTGATACTCATTAAATAGAAATCTGTTGATTATGTTCATCAGGGAATGCTGGGGATAAACCAAAAATGTATTTTTTGGTGCTGGATTTCATCAGAAAGCCAACTTGTCTTCTTCCTCCTCCAGTATTACTGATTCCCATTTATGTGACTCAGTAGAACAGCAGCAAAAGAAAAAAATGAAAATACTGCGTTATAGTATGGTAGCAATCCCATTTTGAGACCCACCTCTGAAACCCTGTATTACTTGTGTGCACTGAAAATTTCACATTATAAGCCACCATGACTTTTGACGAAGAGTTATATTCCTAAAAATGCCTTCTCTGCAAGTTGTTTGGAATAAAAAAATCTTTAAAATGTATCTGATACACACATTTACAAGTATTCATACTCAAGATGGTACTACAGACAGAAATTATTATTCTATTTATTTCCTACCTTCAATGCAGTTCAATAAAACTGCACAGAAAGAGAAATAATTTATTACTTTATTACAGCAATACAAAGACTTCTATCAACTGCATGTATGAACATGTAAGCAAAGTCAAAGATACTGAAAGAAGACAAAACTCTCTAAAAAGACAGAATAACATCTAGGATTGAGTCAATTATTTCACAGAAATGTGAAGGACCACTCACTACAACAAAGTCATTTTCAGTTGTTATAAGGATTAGATTAGTATCTCAAAATCTTAAGGTCACACAATAAAACTAGTTGCTCAATATGTCATGCATTCTACCTACAGATTTTTTATTCTACTTCCACCCTCAATTAACTTTACTGTTACTGTAAGAAGAGGCACACATGGACATATACGAAAACCCCACTGTAAACTGGAAAATTAAATGAAATCAGTTTTGAAATTCAGTACTATGGCTTTTAACAAATCAGCAAAACCTAGACTAATTTACCAAAAGCAAGAATGATAGCTGGAATGCAGAGTTTCCATGATGGTTAAGCAGCATTAAAGTTATTCCTTATTATGCTCTTAAGCACGATCTGATTAGTTTTAACAGCTGCCCAGCAGGAAAAGCCAACCAATCATTCCACAGCAATATACATATTAATGTACTTCTTTGCATTTAGTTTTCACTCATTTCAGGGGCAGGTACACAATGCACTACAGTTAGAGCTGGCACCTTTTGATTTGAAAGTGATACAAAATATTCAAAATGAAAACAATGTCAGAAAATCCTGATAATCACAATATAACTTAATACCTTAAAACCTTTTCTGATAAATAAACTTATTCCACTAATACATAACAGGCAGCAAATTGGTTTTGAGGTTCCATGGGAAACGGGATGGAAAGGAAAACTGAAAATACTGATTTGTTTGTACTTTAGAATGTGCTTCAACAAATAGTATTTAAAGATGCATAATGGAAATGAGGATAATATTATACAGCTAGGGTTAAAATGAAGTGGAAAACCTCAAAGAGAGTCATATAATATTCCATTCTTAAAATCATAGAACATCTTGACTCAAAAAAAAGAAAAAAAGAAAAGAAAATAAAGACAATATGCTTGATAAAGCAGAGAGAAAAAAAATTACAATAATTTGACTTTGGAACATCAGCAATAACCATGGCAATAATACACATCACATTAATAGAGACAGCAATTATAGCACAGTGTGATAAAAATGTATTTCAACACTGACAGCTGATGATTCAGAATTTTTTCCTTTCACCGATGTTTCTTTTTTGTTTCCTTAAAATTGTCTGAAATGCTCTTTGCTACACGTCCCAGCATCAAAAGCTCTACAGGACTTCAGTGTTCAGACCCATTATATTTCTGGGCTAGGGAATATAAATTACCATACTAATGCAGTCAAGTGCCACAATCTACAGTTGACAGTGGATTTAAAAGTATTCTTTGATATTTATAAGTTTATAATTTTGGACTTAGCATTTTTCTTCCCTGTGTTTCCTCCTGAAAAGAAGAAAAACATTCATTCTGTGTATTTAGAGTAACAACTACAGGAATTATTTAATTCTCTATCACTATCAATCAAAGATCTGAAAGCTAAAACAAAAAAATCAAGAACATTATAATTGCATAAGCTTCTTTAATATTTGAATTATCTAATTAATGACATCTAAATCTAGGAGATACTGTAATTCCCTCTACCATATTCAAAACATATCTTAAAAACAGGAAATCTTTATCAGCCCAAAAACAGAGCTTATGGAAAAATGATTTGGGGCAAGAGGAAAAAACTCACAGGTGTACAGAAGACATCTAGCCATGAAGTAACTCGGAATTTTTAATAATAGATTTGGAATATTACTAGGATTCATATGAACCCCATTGGAAAAATAATTCAAGCTTTCTTAAGACAGATATCCAAATTTTGAGGAAATTTTTTATTGCTGCATTCACAATAAACAAAAGGAGCAGAAAATAATATTCACAATGTTATTCTGAAACTAAAATTAGAATGGATTGAGAACTTGCAAATTCCTTGCAGCAATACAAGCGTGATTAGCTACTTTCCATCAAAATTTGTGAGAACAATTTTTAACTCGGTCAAAAAATAATGGTATTCAAGTGAAATTGTTCCTGATGGAGACAGCTGTTGCTTGCTTTAGTAATAACGTTCTTATTTAGCAACAATGAGTTCAGTCACAAACATCTGAAGTATGAAAAATACAAAAAAAAAAACAAAAAACAAACAACCGCTGCTGGATACACTGGTGAAAAGTAACACATCAAACAGAAAATCAAAGTTAGTATCACCATCTCAATCTAGAACACTTTAGACTTTTAGATAATAGTAGAGA